TAAAATGATTCGTAAAGTTTGTTACCTGGATATGAGAACTCGTTTATTCTTAATTATTATCAATATAATTAACATAATTATCGTTATTAATACTACCACTAGTACTGTATTATTATTATTATTATTATTATTATTATTATTATTATTATTATTATTATTATTATTATTATTATTATTACAGCACAACCAGCTTATGTAAATACTGTACTGTACACAATAAAATCCCAGGCGAGGGTCCGGTCTGCTACTGTACTTGATTATCAAGAATCCAGGAAAAAAGTCACAGAAAAGAGTCACAGGAAAAAAGTCAGAGGAAAAAAATCACAGGCGGTAGTACCTCCCTGTAAGGTAACTGCCTACTACCTACTACCTACGTAGCACGTGCATCATATATAAATTGTGTTGTCAATATGTAAAAGTCGTGTATTGTCAGTTAATAACTGTTAATAACTGTTTTAAAATATGTTTAGTTTTATTACCTTAATTTAAATAAAATGTGACTTTTTTCCTGTGACATTTCTTTCTGTCCACCGATTAACAGATGGGTTTTCCTGGTGAGGTGGCTGGCTGAGGGAGAAGGGAGAAGGGAGAAGGGGGTAGGGGGTAGGGAGGATAAACGTCACCTCTTCCTTCTCGACCAGCACCGTGTCTTGAGGGAGTCTGGGGAGTATACAGCCCCGTCTTTTACCGTGTATGGGTCCCTTATTTCCATTTCTCATCACAATTTTTTTTACAATATTTGGGTTTACGTCAATAGTTAATAGAGATACAGTATGGGGGGGGAAACTCGACATGGTGAAATAATTCGGTCAACAATAAATTCTGGTTGGATTTCAGTTTTTGAGATGCCAGGAAAATGGCCTCGCGAAAAGAAGTCGACCTGGTGTGACGGTGTTACCTGGCTTGTGGTGGTTTTTGTGTTGCTGGGACACACCTTAGGATACCAACACACCTCAGCCAACCACCACACTTCACCAGCATCACCTCACCACCCACCACAGCACAAGACAAGGTGAGTAGATAACTTGTTGTTTGGTGCGTTACGTCAACTTTATTTATTTAGTTATTTTCCTGGTGGACGGCCTACACCTGTACCGCCAACCAACTCTTCATTTGTTTCTCTACAGTTAATCAGTGTTACAGCCAGCGGGACTATCAGCTCTACAACTTACACTCGTAACTGTAATAAAAGTCAAACGTGCTCAGGTTGGCTCTCCCATACCTTACGTCTACTTCCACACTGCGTAGCGTAAAGTTATTTTGACTAAGCTTGATGAGTGAACGTGTTTTGAATCATCAGGATAAGACTATGGCCTCGTCATGATGTGTGTCTGGCATCATCAAAATCATATCCCTAAACAACCCGTGTTACTCTGTTCATAGGATCACCAGAGAGGAGTAAAACAGGGAAGAAATCCTACAACCTCTGGCCCGACCCATCTGCCTCCTCAACAGTGATCTTTTAATACCGTGCTGCACGAACCTAACCTGGGTGAATCTTACCTTCAAGTTCTATCTCCAGAGTTAAGTTTATTATGATCAAGTTTAATTGTGGTGTTAAGTTCCATATACTGAGTTGGACTAATAACCTGGGTGAATATTACACCTTAGTTTATTTGCTGCTTAAAGTTACATATTGTTAAAGAAAAGTTCGTTTTCTTGGTGGTAAGGGAAGACAGTACTAGTTTCTCAAGAAAGTTCAAATATATTAATAAATTTCAGTTCGCTTGTGTAATCCGGAGCATCAAAGACAACTAAGATCAATTTCAGTTTGTTGTATATTACTCTACATGATAACAGCAGAATGTCCACTCTCGCTGTCTGAAGTTGCTGGAATTATCTACTGCACAAAACAAAACTGTAGTCAAGTTCAAGAGAAAACAGGTGGGAGCCTTTCAATGGCCTCCTGTAGGGTAACACAAGCTTTCTTAACTATCAAGTATTACCTGGACCAGAAATATCTATTCCCCCAAACATGAGAGCAACACACGGAACATCCTCATTACAAGGTGTGGTCACCGTGGTCGCCGTGGTGGTAGTGGTGGTCGGGCAGATTACATAAGAACATAAGAATGGAGGAAACTGCAGAGGGCCTATTGGACCATACTGGGCAGTCCCATTTACAGATTCTATATCCATTCTGTAATACGGTGACCAGAATTGAATTGCGTAATCCAAGTGGGGTCTCACAAGAGCAAGATACAGTTTTAAGATGACCTCGCTAGTCTTGTAACTAACAGTCCTTTGTATGAACCCAAGTACTCTATTAGCCTTGTTTCGAGCAAATACACATTGCTTACTTGGCTTAAGATTCCTATTTATCATTACTCCTAAATCTTTCTCGCAGTCGGATTTCTCAATAACATCGTTGTTCGTCTGGTATCTGGGATCCCTGTTTACACCTCCTATACTAAATACTTTACATTTGTCCACATTGAATCTCATCTGCCATTTTTCAGACCATTCGAAAAATTTGTTTAGATCTTCCTGTAGTTTTGCGGAGTCATCGTCAGATATAATTACACGCTCTATTTTAGTGTCATCAGCAAATTTACTTATGTTGCTGTCTACGCCGATATCTATGTCGTTTATGCATATAATAAATAATAATGGCCAGAGTACTGAGCCTTGGGGAACTCCACTAGTGATGATGCTCCAATGGGATTTAGTGCCGTTAAAGCTCACTCGCTGTTTAATGTCCTATAACCACGCCCTAATCCATTTAGAATATCACCTTTACTGCCATGAGCCTTCACATTTCTTATTATTGTGCCCCTCGTCCACTAATTCGAAAACAGATGAAAAGAATGTTAATAGATTAGTTAGAAATGAACGCCCGCTTGTGAAGCCAAGTTCGGAATCATTGATCAACTTGTGCTTCTCCAGGTGATTTTGAATAGAGTTTGAAATGATTGCTTCCAGTAATTTGCCTACAATTGATGTTAGACTGATTGGTCGATAGTTAGAGGATAGTGATCTATCTCCCTTCTTGAAAATCATTATTACATTCGCTAACCTCCAGGATTCTGGTACTACACCCGTTTTTAAGGACATGTTAAACAACTTTTTCTAATGGCATACTAAACTCTTCCTTACATCCCTTTAATACTCTAGCAAATATCTCATCGGGACCTGGTGATTTATTAGGCTTTAGTTTGTCTATTTTCTTACTAACATCATTATAGTCAATACTATCTCGCTTAATTTATTTTCTTCGCTATCTCTGTAGAGAGTCGGTGCCTCGGGTATCATGTTTAAATTTTCGGTGGTGAAAACTGTTGAAAAATATTTATTCAGATTATTGCTTATTTCTCCGTCGTTATTAGTTAACTCGTGGGCATCTGACTGTATTGGTCCAATCTTTTCTTGTGCTTTAGTTTGATACATTTGATAGAATCCCTTGGGGTTTGCCTTCGCCTCCTTTGCTATCTTCAGTTCATTATTCCTCTTTGCTTTTCTTATCTCGGTCTTAACCCTAGCGGCCAATACCTTATAATAATCTTGGAGGTAGACTTCACCACGATTTATTCTCCTACCTATAGCCTTCCTTTATCCAATAATATTCTTTAAATAATTATTTATCCATGTAGGGTCATTGTTGTTTGATCTGAGTTTTCTGTATGGTACGTTCTGCCTTTGTGCATTAAGTAACTCATTATTTAAATTGTTGTGGAACTCGGCAACCTCAGATCTCATTATCAGGTCTCCCGGTAAGGTGAGGTCACCCTCTCTGGGTACATTGTGAGAGGTCACCTCATGTGAGGTCATGTAGTTCACCCCCAAGCGTGATACTACTTCTCTCAGCTGCCTCTTCAAACTATCAAAGTTTGCCCTTCTGAAATCTGGGACTTTAGTGGAATTTTCTTTGCGGCTGCCCTGAAATTCTAACTGGAATCTAATTTCTTTGTGATCGCTGTTAGCAAGTTCGTTCCCTACCTCGACATTACTAATGAGGTTTTCTCTGTTTGACAGAACTAAATCGAGTATATTATTACCCCGGGTGGATTCGGTTATATATTGGTTTAGGAAACAGTCCTGGATTGTTTCAAGAAAATCCTCTGATTCTGAGTTACCCATAAGGTCAATCCAAACTATTTGGCTAAAGTTAAAGTCGCCTACTATACAGACTTTGCTATGTATGGAAGCCCTGCGCATTTCATCCCAAATATGTCGCTCATTAACTCTATCAGATTAGGAGGTCTATATATTATTCCTGTGATTAATTTTTCCCTACCGTCGATTAGTTTTATCTAAATTGTTTCTGTATTCCGTTCTGTTTTTATTACCTTATTTATTTCACACTTCAGATTATCCCTGACATAGATTGCTACTTCGCCTCCTTTCCTAATCTGCCTATCGGTATGGAATAATTTGTAATCTGTAATTTGGTATTCGACAGGTATCTCACGAGTCTAGGTTTATCCATGTTTCGGTGAATGCTATTATATCGATTTTTTCGGTACACGCCAACGCCGTGATTTCATCTATTTTGTTTTTCATACTTTTACTGTTTGCGTAGTATACATTTAAGTTAGTCGTGTTCTGAGCCCTCTTTTTGTCGCGTTTAGGTTTTAACTCCCTATCTAATTTAGTTTTGCCATAATTCCTAGCACTATTTCCCTGTAACATTTCACTTTGTTTACCCTCTCCCACTGCAGTCTGCTCCACCCCCGTGCTCATATGTTCTCTTAGCAGTTTAAAGACTTCGACATCTTTTGAACTGCCCTCTCGAGAGACCCAGCCAGGGTTGCCACCCCATCCCGAGACAGGTGCACCCCATCCCTAGCATAAAGGTCCCTTCTGCCGTAGAAGTTGTCCCAGTTGTCAATGAATGGGACTGATATTGACTTGCAATATCCGTCAAGTCGGCCGTTGACACCAACTGCCCTTGACAGCCTTTCATTGCCAACTCTCCTTTTAGGGATCCCTCCCTTCGACCTAATACGTTGTATAGCTGTCTTGAACTTATCAGGAAGCTCCTCACTCCTACACCGGCCAATATCATTGCCTCCTGCACTAAGGCAAATAATGGGTTTGTTCCCATTACAAGCTACCACCACAAACAACCACTTCCTATCAACCCGAGGGACAAGACAAGGTGAGTTGACAACCTTTTCTTTGTTGTATTATTCATGTTATAATTTGATAAATTTACTACAATCATCCATGTGTGGTAAACATGTAATGAGGAAACCAAAGAGCTTCTTTTTTTTTTTGGTCAACAGTCATACCAGTAATAGCACTAAAATCAGCAGCAGCAGCAAGATGGACAGCAACAGTGGGAGTACAGGTAGAGGCAGAAACAGCAACACAGACAACAGCAGCAGTGTTAGGAGAGTCGGGGTGGAGGTGTGGTCGAGTTTCAGTGGGTGGAGTGTGAGGGTGGAAGAGTGTCACCACAACCTGACCTGCCACACCTCTCCCCCGCTCGTCAGTAAGGGCTTCAACTTGCCCCCGGAGGACGCCCGCCCCCACCCACCTACCCTCGACGAGGGCGTCACCCTCACCGTCCTCAACCAACGAAAATCTTCCCTCATCTTCCACAGGGTGAGTCTCCACCCACTGTACTTGTGGGAACTAAACACACACACACACACACACACACAACCACACACACACACACACACACACACACACACACACACACACACATACCATAGACAACAAACTAAATTGGAAACCACACGTCAGTGAAGTTGTCAAATCCTCCAGTTTCCGTCTCCACCTCCTCCGCCGACTCAAGTCCCTCGGAGTTCCTGCACACGAGCTCCTCAGTGTATACACAACATTCATACTTCCCAAGCTCACCTATGCCTCCCCCACCTGGTCTTCCTCCCTAAATGCCACACAACGTAAACACCTAGAAAAAGTGCAAAAGAGGGCATGCAAGATTATTCTCTCCCCTTCCTACTCCACATATCAAGAAGCGCTCAACACACTGACCCTTTCGACTCTCACTGACCATCACCACGGCCTCATCTGCAAATTTGGTAAGAAGCTTCTACACCATCCCCGACACCGGCCCCTACTACCACCTGAGATCCCCTGTCCGAGAATTGCTGTTCGACACCACAACCGCATCCAGCCCATACGTGCACGAACTGATCGCTATAAGAACAGCCCAGTCCCAACCATTGTAAAAATTATCAATAACATGTAATAAATCAGTGTATTCACTCCCAGTAAACACTGCTCCCTACACTGTCACTATGTTGAAATGAACTGTAGTTTGAGCTGATCCCCATCTAAGTTATTATATGTCTTATTTGTGTCACTTATGTCACTTGTATATTATTTGTAATTCGTAACCCATTCCCCAAATATGTAACTGTATATTTTCAGCCTTCTGGCTGCCAAGCTCTTTCAATAAACCGTTAATTATTATTATTATTATTATTACCATGACCCATCAATAATAACGGTCTGTGTTTTGGACAGGTGTTCCCGCTCGGCCAGTACTGGGCACACTGGGCAGACCTGGAGTGGCACTTGAACCGGGTGGCACCGGGACGCATCGTCGTCATGACAGTGGCAGTGTCTGGCACTGTAGGACTTCGTGACGCCGCCCGACGCCTCGCCCAACTTGGATCACTGTTCGCACTCCACCTCACGCCCATGGCTCACTGGACATGGGTCTTTGTCAAGGGCGGACGTACCATCTCCGAGACGGCTATTATCCAAGGCTACGCCCCACATCACGCCCACCTTATCCTTCCACTCTCACACCTAACAACGCCGCCCACCTCATTCAGCAAGAATCAAGAGCTGCGACAGCAGCGTTGGCAGTACTGTGAATCCCATGGTGCCATGGGAGGCCTCTGTGACGAGGACACCCCCGACCCACTACCTGTGCCCCCTCCTCCGCCTGTGGCCCAGCAGTGGGCTCTGGATGGGGTGCCCGTGGTGGTGACGGCAGGCAACAGACACCAGTACCTCTACCACACCCTCACCACCCTCCTCACCACACCTGGGGCACAACACAACAACATACTCGTCGCCCTCGGTGACGCGCCACAACCCACAACACAACTCCTCCGTCTACTCAACATCACCTTCACTAAACTTGTCGTACACGGTAAAGACAACAACAAGCTCTTCCGTTACTACCGCAGCGTCTTCCAGTACGTCGCCCGCACCTTCCCCGACGCTCCGGCAGTCATCATCCTCGACGAAGACGTACAAGTCTCTCCAGATTTCTTCTCCTACATGAGCCAGACGCTCTGGCTCCTCCACCATGACCCGACACTCTACTGCATCAACTCTCACTCCATTTCCGGGTTCTCTGATCGAATTCACAATCCCTCTCGAGTATTTAGAGGCAACGTGCAGGTGCAGTGGGGATACGCCGTCACTCCTAGCTTCATCCGGGATGCCTTAAGCAAGTGGCCTGAGGACGAACACAAGACCAACATCATCATATACGATTACTGGCTCTACACCTACGTGAGACGGGGGAGAGAATGTGTCTTCCCGGAAGTGGGACGTTCCCTCCATTATGGCCGCGGCACTAACACCGACCCCCTCACAGCAGAGAGAGCTTTCATTGACAAGCCTGTGGTAGGCGAGGCTGGCGTACCACTGGTGGGAGTGTCGCGCCTCCAGCATGACATCTGGCGCAGCCACCTCGCACACAACATTACCCTGGCTACACCTTTACTGGACAACCCTTGCTCACCAGCCTTCATACCTACACACAACCCTCGAGAGTTGTATGTGTTCTACTACAGGCTGGACGCCGACGATGATGGACGGGCGAGTGCGATCCAGTTTTTTGATCTTCACAACTGTGTGGGAGGATGGAGTCTGTCTGATCAGGGCCAGCACGAGGGAGTGAGCATCGTCACGCTCTCCGCCCACACCACGCTCTACCTGGTGGGCGTCCCCTACTCATCCTACTCCCACCTCCGCCCTCAAGGACTTCCTCTGTGGGACATCAACACCATCTCCGAGGAAGACTTTATTATGGTCGAAGAAAATAAACTCAACAAGTATAAATTTACTCCAATTATTGCCAACAGTAACATGGAGACGCTGCAACTGATGAAGCTGTTGTCCACGTCCTGACACACACACACACACACACACACACACACACACACACACACACACACACACCCTGAGCCCGTAACACTATACCACAGTCACCTTTGTAACTATGTATATAACACCACAGTCAAGCTGGCCACGGGTGATAATACTGACCCTCACCTCCCCACCTTCTTCCCCTTAATAAACATAAATAAGGAGAGAGAGAGGAAGATGGTAGGGATGAAGGCGAAAGGGAAGAATAAATCTTTCGACATTTACCAAATAAATCCTTAATTTTATTTTCACCTAATAATAATAATAATAATAATAATAATAATAATAATAATAATAATAATAATGATAAAAATACAAAAAATAAAAATAATATTAATTATAATAATAATAAAAAATAATACTGCCAATAATAATAATGATAATAGTAATAATAATAATAATAATAATAATAATAATAATAATAATAATAATAATAATAATAATAAAATAATAATAATAATAATAATAATAATAATAATAATAAAACACAAACGTACGTCATATGGAAGTATACAGTACAGCCATCACACAGAGGCCTGGTAAAATAAAGAATGTAAATACACTTAATTATATAAGAGTTAATATTAAGAGACATCTAATACAGACATAATAACGAAGAAAATAAATAATAACAAACACCTCATGCGAATAACATCAAAAGACAATGAAGACAAAACAATACAAAAAAGTAATAAAGAAGAATCAAAACTGAAACCAACAAAAAAGTCAACAAACAGAAATAAAAACATTGTCTATACCTGTCTGTATATTTACCTTACCTAACCTAACCTAACCTAACCTAACCTAACCTAACCTAACCTAACCTAACGTCAGTCTTTATCTCTATAGCAAATGTCTCCTTGTGTTAACTATCTCCGTCTTGAATACTGAAGTGGACTAGTGGAGGGTAAGTGAGAGATGGAGGGAAGGAAGGTAAGTTGAGGGAAGGAGGAAAGGTAAGTCAGGGGAGGGAGGGAAGATGGGTAATGTGAAGGTAGAATGGAAGGAAGGTAAGACGAGGGAGGGAGGGTAGGGCAGGCGAAGGAGGGAGGAAGAAGAGAAGGAGGGTAAGGCAAGGCAGCATCATACACCAGGAAAACAGCAGCGGAATCAAGGCATCCCCCTGAGGCACACCAGCCAGCGTGGATTTGTATTACGCCAGCCTCCTCCACTCCTGTGTGTCTCTTATAGTCTCTCCTCCACCAGTACTATCACCATCGTCTCTTGTCTCTCCTCCACCAATACTACCACCATCGTCTCTTGTCTCTCCTCCACCAATACTACCACCATCGTCTCTTGTCTCTCCTCCACCAACACTACCACCATCGTCTCTTGTCTCTCCTCCACCAATACTACCACCACCGTCCCTTGTCTCTCCTCCACCAACACTACCACCATCGTCTCTTGTCTCTCCTCCACCAATACTACCACCATCGTCTCTTGTCTCTCCTCCACCAACACTACCACCATCGTCTCTTGTCGCTCCTCCACCAACACTACCACCATCGTCTCTTGTCTCTCCTCCACCAATACTACCACCATCGTCTCTTGTCTCTCCTCCACCAATACTACCACCATCGTCTCTTGTCTCTCCTCCACCAATACTACCACCATCGTCTCTTGTCTCTCCTCCACCAATACTACCACCATCGTCTCTTGTCTCTCCTCCACCACCACCACCACCATCGATCTCACCATCGTCTCTTGTCTCCTCCACCAACACCACCATCGTCTCTTGTCTCTCTTCCACCAACACTACCACCATCGTCTCTTGTCTCTCCTCCTACCACCATCGTCTCTTGTCTCTCCTCCTGCTTCCACCATCGTCTCTTGTCTCTCCTCCTGCTTCACCACCCACCATCGTCTCTTGTCTCCAACACTACCACCATCGTCTCTTGTCTCTCTTCCACCACGTCCTTGGTCTCCTCCTCCACCTCACCACTACCACCATCGTCTCTCGTCTCTCCTCCACCAACACTACCACGTCTCTTGTCTCTCCTCCCAACACTACCACCATCGTCTCTTGTCTCTCCTCCGCGAATCTACCACCATCGTCTCTTGTCTCTCCTCCGCCAACACTACCATCAAATCTCTCTCTCTTCCACCAACACTACCACCATCGTCTCTTGTTTCTCCTCCCACCACCACCACCACCATCGATCTCTCTTGTCTACTCCTCCCGCAGACTACACCATCGTCTTAACACCATCGTCTCTCTAGCTCCTCCTCCACCAACACCACCATCGTCTCTTGTTTCTCGTCACCACCACCACCACCACCATCGTCTCTTGTCACCACCACCACCACCGTCTCTTGTCTCTTGCCCTGTCTCTCTTGTCTCTCCTCCACCACCATCCACCATCGTCTCTTGTCTCTCCTCCACCAACACCACCACCATCGTCTCTCTCTCTCTCCTCCACCAACACTACCACCATCGTCTCTTGTCTCTCCTCCACCAACACTACCACCATCGTCTCTCTCTCGTCTCTCCTCCACCAACACTACCACCATCGTCTCTCGTCTCTCCTCTTCATCACCATCAGTCTCTTTGTCTCCTCCACCAACACTACCACCATCGTCTCTTGTCTCTCCTCCACCAACACCACCACCATCACTTGTCCTCCTCCACCACCACCACCATCGTCTCTTGTCTCTCCTCCACCACCACCACCATCGTCTCTTTGTCTCTCCCCTCACCAACACTACCACCATCGTCTCTTGTCTCCTCCCACCAACACTACCAGTCATCGTCTCTTGTCTCTCCTCCACCACCACCACCACCATCGTCTCTTGTCTCCTCCACCACCACCACTCATCGTCTCTGTCACTACCACCATCGTCTCTTGTCTCTCCTCCTCACCTACTACCATCGTCTCTTGTCTCTCCTCCACCAACACTACCACCATCGTCTTACTACCATCATCGTCTCTTGTCTCTCCTCCACCAACACTACCAATTATCGTCTTGGTCTCTCCTCCACCAACACTACGTCTCTTGTCTCTCCTCCAACACTACCACACCATCGTCTCTTTGTCTCCTCCACCAACACTACCACCATCGTCTCTTGTCTCTCCTCCACCAACACTACCACCTCTTATCTCTTCCTCCACCAACACTACCATCGTCTCTTGTCTCACCTCCTGCTACTACCACCATCGTCTCTTGTCTCTCCTCCACCCACTACCACCATCGTCTCTTGTCTCTCCTCCACCAACACTACCACCACATCGTCTCTCATTCTCCTCCACCAACACTACCACCATCGTCTCTGTCTCTCCACCAACTTCACTCGTCTCTGTCCTCCCTCCAATTAACACTTTCACCATCGTCTCTTCTCTCCTCCACCAACACTACCACCATCGTCTCCTCCACCACCTCACCAACGTCTGTAGTCTACCACCATCGTCTCTTGTCTCTCCTCCTGCCTTACCATCATCGTCTCTTGTCTCTCCTCCACCAACACTACCACCATCGTCTCTTGTCTCTCCTCCACCTACCACCATCGTCACCAACCACCATCGTCTCTTGTCTCTCCTCCACCAACGTCTGTACTACCATCATCGTCTCTTGTCTCTCCTCCACCAACTTACTACCACCATCGTCTCTTGGTCTCTCCCTCCTTGTCCAACACTCACTTTACCATCGTCTCTTGTCTCTCCTCCACCAACACTACTCAAGCACCATCGTCTTGTCTCTCCACCACCAACACTACCACCATCGTCTCTTGTCTCTCCTCCACCACCACCACCACCATCGTCTTTGTCTCCTCCACCACCACCACCACCATCGTCTCTTGTCTCTCCTCCAACACTGCCTCACCACCGTCTCTTGTCCTCCACCACCATCGTCTCTTGTCTCTCCTCCTCCACCAACACTACCATCGTCTCTTCTCTCCTCCACCAACACTACTCACCATCGTCTCGCCCCTCACCAACACTACCACCATCGTCTTTCTCTCCTCCGCCACTCGTCTCTTGTCTCTCCACCATCCACCATCTTGTCTCTCCTCCACCACCCACCACCATCGTCTCTTGTCTCTCCTCCACCAACACTACCACCATCGTCTTGTCTCTCCTCCACCAACACCACCACCATCGTCTCTTGTCTCTCCTCCACCAACACTACCACCATCGTCTCTTGTCTCTCCTCCACCACCACCACCATCGTCTCTTGTCTTTCCTCCAACACCACCATCATCGTCAATAACTTCATGTCAAGGCAGCAGCGTCAATTCTCCACCACGTCATCGCTTAGGTCATCGTTCCCGACATAGTGGAGAGGTTATCGTACCGTAATATAAGAACAGGATGCCCAGTGCTCTACCGCATCAATAATTAATTATCAAGACATCTGAAGAAAATACTCCGCCAGTACGAGCAACCAACAGCGCCTGACGAACACTCTCCCTTCGTCCTCTTCCTTCAACAGTGTTATTTTATCGTAAGAGGAATTGTAACAGTGAAAGTGAAAGGGGAGTAAGAGTGACAGTGAGAGGACAGTGATAGTGAGAGGAGAGTGACAGTGAGAGGACAGTGATAGTGAGAGGAGAGTGACAGTGAGAGGACAGTGATAGTGATAGGAGAGTGACAGTGAGAGGACAGTGATAGTGAGAGGAGAGTGACAGTGAGAGGACAGTGATAGTGATAGGACTGATAGTGAGAGAACAATGAAAGTGAGAGTGAGAGGACAGTGATAGTGAGAGGGGAGTGACAGTGAGAGGACAGTGAGAGGACAGTGAGAGAACAGTGATAGTGAGAGGAGAGTGACAGTGAGAGGACAGTGAGAGAACAGTGATAGTGAGAGGAGAGTGACAGTGAGAGGACAGTGAGAGAACAGTGATAGTGAGAGGAGAGTGACAGTGAGAGGACAGTGAGAGAACAGTGATAGTGAGAGGAGAGTGACAGTGAGAGGACAGTGAGAGAACAGTGATAGTGAGAGGAGAGTGACAGTGAGAGGACAGTGAGAGAACAGTGATAGTGAGAGGAGAGTGACAGTGAGAGGACAGTGAGAGAACAGTGATAGTGAGAGAACAATGAAAGTGAGAGTGAGAAGACAGTGATAGTGAGAGGACTGATAGTGAGAGAACAATGAAAGTGAGATGAAAATGAGAGTGAGAGGACAGTGATAGTGAGAGGACAGTGATAGTGGGAGAACAGTGATGGTGAGACAACAGTGATAGTGGGAGAACAGTGATGGTGAGAGGACAGTGATAGTGAGAGGACAGTGAGAGGACAGTGATAGTGAGAGGACAGTGAGAGTAAGAAGACAATAAAACTAAGAAGAAAGGTGAAAGTGACTTGACAAAAAATAGGAATATGAGGGTTAAAGGCAAAAGAAGAGTCAATCCAACACCCGCCTCTCCTGACCTGACTGATTTTGTTAGTCGCACGTGAGGGACTGTCTTTATATTTCTGTGTTTACCTCAAATGTAGCTTTACCAATAATATTTTCTGGATTTTTTTTACAGTGTTTAGAGTTAATTATTATTTATACATGGTAATGGTGATGATGATGATGGTGATGATGATGATGATGAGACAGAAACAAAAATTTACCATGTTATCATTTTACCATCAATCTAAGAAAGATGAAGATGATGTGATGACGACGATGATGATGAAGAAGATAATGATGATGGTGATGATATAACAACGAAAATGATAATGAAGGTGATGATGATAGTGATGATGATGATGATGATGGTGACAGCAACACAAACCTCTGCAGCAAAACTGAAAAGGTAACTCTCTCTTTTTTTACCATCATTATTAACTATTAAATAATGTCATGATACAGTATTACCATTATAATGCCCAGTAATACACGTGTATGTTTGTGTGTCCGTGGTATAGACCTATGGTGGGCGTGGTGGTGTGGTCGGGCGTGGAGGGCTCGGGACTGAAGGTGTACAACTGTGTGTATGGCCATGACCACTGCACCCTCAGGTAAATATACAATATACACCCACCCTCAGGTATCCTTTAATACACTCCTCTATACACCTGATACAATATTTTCTACTGAGTAATACATCTTATGAAACAAACTCCTTAATAAAGTAATGCAACAGCTAGCGTAATAATAATAATAATAATAATAATAATAATAATAATAATAATAACAACAATAATAATAATAATAATAATAATAATAATAATAATAATAATAATAATAATAATAATAATAATAATAATAATAATAACTGACAGGTCCACGACTACACCACCACCACCAGGCTCCATCACCACCACACCATCACCACCAGAACCAGGCTCCATCACCAATTACACCATCACCACCAGAACCAGGCTTCACTACCACCACACCATCACCACCACAGAACCAGGCTCCATCACCACCTCTTTTCACACCATCACCACCACCACTACCACTGGCTCACCTGCCACCACACCACCACCACCAGACACCACCACCACCACCACCACACCACCACCACCACCAGACACCGCCACCACCACACCACCACCGGGCTCCACCACCACACCACCACCACCAGACACCACCACCACCACACCACCACCACCCTCAGAAGGACTCACCCTCGACGTGCTCAACCAACACTCAGCGCTCGTCATCTTTCACAAGGTATTGCTCGAACCTTTACCTGCCTCTATCCTTGGCCTTATTAAAGTAACAAGAGATGGTCCACTACATAGTTTATGTGGCTCTAAATGGTTGCCACATACAAGTAGATTATGTACATTTATTGTATCTTTCTTCTACTGTATATGCCACGATAATGCCTCTTAGATAAACCTACAGGAAACTTATTTATTGCATGTTTACTCGTGTTACATCAGGCAGACAACATTAAGGATATTAATCCAAACACAATGAAACAACGTGTAATTATTATTTTTCCTTCTAGAGTGACCACACTGTGAGAACACCGAGTTATTAAAGAATAAACATATAAGTAGTTCCACTATACTAGGTCTACTAGACCCATCAGAGTAATGATACATTAGTTATCCGTTTGCTGTAGAGAAGTTTTATCTGAGGTCAAGGAACCGTCAGTTAATCATCACAGTGATAACAGTGTGTGTTCTGTACAGGTGTTCCCGCTCGGCCAGTACTGGTCACACTCGGTAGATCTGGAATGGCACTTGAATCGGGTGGCACCGGGACGCATCGTCGTCATGACAGTGGCAGTGTCTGGCACTGTAGGACTTCGTGACGTCGCCCGACGCCTCGACCAACTTGGATCACTGTTCGCACTCCACCTCACGCCCATGGCTCACTGGACATGGGTCTTTGTCAAGGGCGGACGTACCATTTCCGAGACGGCCATTGTCCAAGGCTACTACGCCCCACATCACGCCCACTTTATCCTTCCACTCTCATACCTAACAACGCCGCCCACCTCTTTCAGCAAGAATCAACAGCTGCAACAGCAGCGTTGGCAGTACTGTGAAGCTCACGGTGCCATGGGCGGCCTCTGTGACGAGGACACCCCCGACCCACTACCTGTGCCCCCTCCTCCGCCTGTGGCCCAGCAGTGGGCTCTGGATGGGGTGCCCGTGGTGGTGACGGCAGGCAACAGACACCAGTACCTCTACCACACCCTCACCACCCTCCTCACCACACCTGGGGCACAACACAACAACATACTCGTCGCCCTCGGTGACGCGCCACAACCCACAACACAACTCCTCCGTCTACTCAACATCACCTTCACTAAACTTGTCGTACACGGTAAAGACAACAACAAGCTCTTCCGTTACTACCGCAGCGTCTTCCAGTACGTCGCCCGCACCTTCCCCGACGCTCCGGCAGTCATCATCCTCGACGAAGACGTACAAGTCTCTCCAGATTTCTTCTCCTACATGAGCCAGACGCTCTGGCTCCTCTACCATGACCCGACACTCTACTGCGTCAACGGCTACTCAGCTACAGGTTTTCAAGGAATATCACACGATCCGAAAACATTATTGCGAGCTAACGTCCAAGTAGAGTGGGGCTTCGCGGTGACACTAGGTTTCGTCAAAGAAGTTATCAGTAGATGGCCGAGTGACCCCTCAGAGACAGACACACTGTTCTACGATGAGTGGCTGTACAAACACGGCAGTAAGGGGCGGGAGTGTGTCTTCCCTGAAATTAGCAGAACAATACATTATGGTATTGGCGTCAACTCTGAAGCTTGGAGTACAGAGATGTATTTCTTGTTTAAACCCATGGTCCGAGAGGCTCATGTTTACCTGGACAACGTGAACAGAATGCTGCAGCGGCCGTGGGAGGAACACTTCTCCCGCAGCATTAAAGAAGCCACACCGCTCACGGGCAACCCCTGCAGCGATACCTTCGTGCCATCTATCAACACTGCCACCAACTTCGTGTTTTACTACCGCGTCAACAAGAAGCCAGACGGACAACTTGATTACAGAAACTTTTTGTACGCCGCTACATGTCTCAACGCGTGGGGTGTGTCCGAGCAAGGCTTACACCAGAAGGTGTTGACAGTCAGGGTGTCCATGCTAGCCACACTCTACCTCGTGGGTGCTCCATATTCTCCCTACGCTCACTTCCGCCCACGACACATCCGCCCATGGGTTTACGATTTAGTTTCCGACGAAGACGATAAAATCATTATGAAGAGAATAGCAGAGATCCAAATAGGGAAATATAAAATACTTAATTGGAACGTTACAAGTGACTCCTTGATGGACTTATTATCTGTGACAAACTAATAATGCTGGCAACGTAATCTATATAAAAAAGTAACTATAGATGAAGCAATGAGTGATCTATAACACTTACACCTAACAACCAGCAACCAATCAACTGCTATGTAATGAAACAGTTGCTAAGGACGCTAACAACAACCACCAACCATGACTCCACAAACAACAACCACCACAAAAAAACTGTACACAACTATGGCCACCACACAAACAACCAATACAACTACTACCAACACCAAATAAACAACACAGTACTACCACCACCACCACCACAAACACCCAATACAACTACCACCACCACACACAATCAACCAACACAACCCACCACCAACACCAAATAAACAACCACCTTAAGCCAAAAACAACAACAACACAATCACCCGCCAACCAAGAGGCAACCATCACCACACACTGTCAAACAACCATTACCTAACAACAACAACAACAACCAACACGAACTCTACCACACCAACGGACACTACCACCACCACCACCACCACAACAACATGAAAATGGTAAATGACTTTGGTGTTTGTAAAGGAAAAAAAGCTTTTGAATTTGGGAGAAATCAGGACAAAGAGAGAGAGAGAGAGAGAGAGAGAGAGAGAGAGAGAGAGAGAGAGAGAGAGACCTACACCATGCCCAACAAGACAACCGTACACAACCAAGACAATCAGATAAATGCCATTAAACCCTCAAAACACTGCCATGTAAACATATAATCAACCCAAAACACCAAAAACAGACAATCAGACATACATACGTACACCACCACACAACCAAACACACAGAATTACACGACCAGACAGACAGAAGTACACAACCAGACAACCAAATACAACCACACAACCAGACAGACAGAAGTACACACTCAGACAACCAAATACAACCACACAACCAGACAGACAGAAGTACACAATCAGACAACCAAATACAACCACACAACCAGACAGACAGAAGTACACAATCAGACAACCAAATACAACCACACAACCAGACAGACAGACGTACACAACCAGACAACCAAATACAACCACACAACCAGACAGACAGACGTACACAACCAATCAACCAAATAAAACCTAACATAACTTAACACATAACCAGTCAACCAAATAAAACCAAACATAACTTAGCACATAACCTGTCAACCAAACAAGACAAAACACAACCAGTCAACCAAACAAGACAAAACACAACCAGTCAACCAAACAAGACAAAACACAACCAGTCAACCAAACACACCCAAACACAACAAGTCAACCAAACACACCCAAACACAACCAGCCAACCAAACACACCCAAACACAACCAGTCAACCAAACACGACCAGTCAACCAAACAACCAGTCAATCAAACACCCAGTTAACCAAACAACCAGTCAATCAAACACAACCAGTCAACCAAACACAACCAGTCAACCAAAAAGCAACCAGTCATCCAAACAACCAGCCAGCCAAACACACCCAAACACAACCAGTCAACCAAACACAACCAGTCAATCAATCACAACCAGTCAACCAAGCAACCAGTCAACCAGTCAACCAAACACACCCAAACACAAACAGTCAACCAAAAACAACCAGTCAACCAAACACAACCACATAACCAAACAAACAGACGACCCGGGAGGATAATGTGACAGCCCCCCCCAACCCCTCCCCCCATGAACTGAAGGCGCGCCACGTGAACCATCAAGCTGTCATAAATAAAACAACAGAGAGAGGAGGAAAACAGTGAAGAAATCCTACAACCTCTGGCCCGACCCATCTGCCTCCTCAACAGTGATCTTTTAATACCGTGCTGCACGAACCTAACCTGGGTGAATCTTACCTTCAAGTTCTATCTCCAGAGTTAAGTTTATTATGATCAAGTTTAATTGTGGTGTTAAGTTCCATATACTGAGTTGGACTAATAACCCGGGTGAATCTTATCTTCAAGTTCTATCTCCAGAGTCAAGTTTATTATGATCAAGTTTAATTGTGGTGTTAAGTTCCATATACTGAGTTGGACTAATAACCCGGGTGAATCTTATCTTCAAGTTCTATCTCCAGAGTCAAGTTTATTATGATCAAGTTTAATTGTGGTGTTAAGTTCCACATACTGAACTTTTGACTAGCAACCTGGGGTCCATCTTACACCTAAGTTTATTTGCTGCTTAAAGTTACATATTGTTAAAGAAAAGTTCGATGTCTTGGTGGTAAGGGAAGACAGTATTACTTTTTCAGGAAAGTTCAAATATTTTAATAAATCTCAGTTCGCTGGTGTAATCCGGAGCATCAAAGAGAACTAAGATCAAGTTCAGTTTGTTGTATATTACTCTACATGATAACAGCAGAATGTCCACTCTCGCTGTCTGAAGTTGCTGGAATTATCTACTGCACAAAACAAAACTGTAGTCAAGTTCAAGAGAAAACAGGTGGGAGCCTTTCAATGGCCTCCTGTAGGGTAACACAAGCTTTCTTAACTATCAAGTATTACCTGGACCAGAAATATCTATTCCCCCAAACATGAGAGCAACACACGGAACATCCTCATTACAAGGTGTGGTCACCGTGGTCGCCGTGGTGGTAGTGGTGGTCGGGCAGAATACAAGCTACCACCACAAACAACCACTTCCTATCAACCCGAGGGACAAGACAAGGTGAGTTGACAACCTGTTCTTTGTTGTATTATTCATGTTATAATTTGATAAATTTACTACAATCATCCATGTGTGGTAAACATGTAATGAGGAAACCAAAGAGCTTCTTTTTTTTTTTTTTGGTCAACAGTCATACCAGTAATAGCACTAAAATCAGCAGCAGCAGCAAGATGGACAGCAACAGTGGGAGTACAGGTAGAGGCAGAAACAGCAACACAGACAACAGCAGCAGCGTTAGGAGAGTCGGGGTGGAGGTGTGGTCGAGTTTCAGTGGGTGGAGTGTGAGGGTGGACGGGTGTCACCACCACCTGACCTGCCACACCTCTCCCCCGCTCGTCAGTAAGGGCTTCACCTTGCCCCCGGAGGACGCCCGCCCCCACCCACCTACCCTCGACGAGGGCGTCACCCTCACCGTCCTCAACCAACGAAAATCTTCCCTCATCTTCCACAGGGTGAGTCTCCACCTACTGTACTTGTGGGAACTAAACACACACACACACACACACACACACACACACACACATACCATGACCCATCAATAATAACGGTCTGTGTTCTGGACAGGTGTTCCCGCTCGGCCAGTACTGGGCACACTGGGCAGACCTGGAGTGGCACTTGAGTCGGGTGGCACCGGGACGCATCGTCGTCATGACAGTGGCAGTGTCTGGCACTGTAGGACTTCGTGACGTCGCCCGACGCCTCGACCAACTTGGATCACTGTTCGCACTCCACCTCACGCCCATGGCTCACTGGACATGGGTCTTTGTCAAGGGCGGACGTACCATCTCCGAGACGGCTATTATCCAAGGCTACGCCCCACATCACGCCCACCTTATCCTTCCACTCTCACACCTAACAACGCCGCCCACCTCATTCAGCAAGAATCAAGAGCTGCGACAGCAGCGTTGGCAGTACTGTGAAGCTCACGGTGCCATGGGCGGCCTCTGTGACGAGGACACCCCCGACCCACTACCTGTGCCCCCTCCTCCGCCTGTGGCCCAGCAGTGGGCTCTGGATGGGGTGCCCGTGGTGGTGACGGCAGGCAACAGACACCAGTACCTCTACCACACCCTCACCACCCTCCTCACCACACCTGGGGCACAACACAACAACATACTCGTCGCCCTCGGTGACGCGCCACAACCCACAACACAACTCCTCCGTCTACTCAACATCACCTTCACTAAACTTGTCGTACACGGTAAAGACAACAACAAGCTCTTCCGTTACTACCGCAGCGTCTTCCAGTACGTCGCCCGCACCTTCCCCGACGCTCCGGCAGTCATCATCCTCGACGAAGACGTACAAGTCTCTCCAGATTTCTTCTCCTACATGAGCCAGACGCTCTGGCTCCTCTACCATGACCCGACACTCTACTGCATCAACGGCTATGGAGGGACGAAGGATCTTTCTCATGACGAAACTAAAATATTACGAGGAGATAACCAGGTCTCGTGGGGTTACGCTATTTCACTTGATTTCGTTCGAGAGGCCTTACAACTATGGCCTTCCCCCAGGCCAGGTAGAACCTTTATCTATGATTATTGGCTGTACAGTAACATTGCTGGAACGCGTGAGTGTGTATTTCCTGACGTCAGTCGCAGCCGACATTTTGGCATAGGAGTCAATACTGTCCCCTGGGTCAAAGAAAACATATTCCAGCTTAATCCTTTGGTGGAGAAGAGCGGGGTGTTGCTGGCAGATGTTGAGCGTGTACAGCTGTCAGTGTGGAGCCGTGATCTGGCTGCCAACATCAGAGACGCCACACCCATCCTTCACAACCCCTGTGACAAAACTTTCCTCCCTGATCCTCGGCAGCCATCCACCTACGTGTTCTACCTCAATATGACCAGGAAGGCAGACGACTCTCCTAACATCGATGACTACTTCTGCGTGGCCCACTGCCTCGGGGCCTGGAGCTTCTCTCCTATGGGCCTCCACAAAGGTGTCAAGACACTTCGGCCCTCCACCCACGCTACACTCCACCTAGTAGGTGTCCCTTATTCCCCTTACTCTTATCTCCGTCCACCTCACATCCCAGTGTGGTCTATGGCAACTCTTACTCCACCTCAGAAGGAAGTTCTTAATGACCGCATCAAAAACAGAACTCCAGTGACCATGGCCAACACTAACCTGACCATAGAACAAGTTATGAATACACTCTCGGGGTGTGACGTGAGTGTCTTGTCTGGTGCACTGTGTTGGTGAGCAGGGACACAACCTAATCATATCTAAGTTACTTAGACAACATTTTGAGTAAAAATATCAGTAACAGTTTTCCTGAATCCTTCTGTGATGTCATAACTGCACCTAGATTCACTCTTCGTTTTCAATGTGTTTATTTATGATCAAATTGTAAATCGTAAAGGTATAAATTGACTTCTATATTTGTGTATGAAAAAATCTAGAAATAAAAAAATCATTATTTATAAAGTTAATCTATTTATAGTAAATAACTATTATCACCTAATGTGCTTTACCAGACTAACTAACACACGGAGGGAGGCGTAGTAAAAACTTGCCACACATAACAGCCTTGAACTAGTGACCATCAGGACCCGTCGGCAGTGCACCCTACAACTTCACTTTTGATTTTCTTTTCCAACACCTGTAATTACCTTCACATATCTAACCAGACTTAATGATATAATGCTTATCCCCTCCAGAGTTCCTGCGCCCGAGCTCCTACTCAGTTCTTACTCAACATTCATACTTGCCAAGCTCACTTATGCCTCCCCTGCCTGGTCTTCCGCCCAAAATGACACACAACGGAAACACCCAGAAAAAGTGCAGACGAGGGCGTACAAGATTATTCTCTCCCTCCTACTCCACATATCAAGAAGCGCTCAACACCCTGATCCTCTCGGCTCTCTCTGATCATCACCACGACCTCATCTGCAAATTTTGGGAGAAGCTTCTGTACCATCCTCGACACCAGCTCCTGCTTCCCATCCAGCCCATACGAGCACGTACTGATCGCTAGAAGAACAGCCAAGTCCCAACCATTGTAAAAATTATCAACAACTCCGAGTTAACCAATGTGTTCACTCCCAGCCAATCTTACTTTTGCAC